TATCCCGTCTCCGTCCTGACACTCGTGACCGCATTGTTCATTTGTGCATGCGGATGGGCACGCCTCCTGGGCCTAAAGCTTCGGCATCGTCTTTCCCGCCTGCGAGCCCGGCACCGGCCAAGCCAAAGGCGCATGCTCCGCCCACTCCGCTGGACGGGCTAGGGTTTCCACTGGCAGTCACGCCGGATGCTGCGGCGCCAAAAGCGCAGGCTAAAACTCCGTCTTTTCCGGCTGCCCGTCCAACTGTGGTTCACCCGCCCCCATGTCTTGTACAGTGCCCGACGCCGGGTTGTTTCAACCAATGCGGCCGTCCGGTGTACGGGCGCGGGCACCGCAATCACTTTTGCCGTGTCTGTCATCGCCTCCACGGCTGATCTGAGGTCCGTGTGCTCCGTCCGCTGTGGAAAAGAAGTGAGCGCGTGCCTTGCTTGACCGTTGCATGTCTCACTCTTGCATGTGTGCTTCGTCCTGTCCGCAGCCATTTTGCTCACTGTTCAGGTAGACTGTGCTGCTTTGGACTTTGGCATCATGCCTCCAGCGTCGCGTTTGGACGACCCTTCTGCCCTCGCTGACTTCTTGTCTTCAATCTCTGCCCCTGATACTTTGGCGGCTGCCGTCAAAAGTGCAGGATTTCACACATTGGGCTCGTTGGCCTCTGCCCTCACTGACCCGTCCGATCCTGATGAGGTCATGCAGTTCATCCGGGTCATTCTCAAGATACCAGATGGCGATGCGACGGCCACTTTCCGTCCGGATGTGTCCTGCCTCCGTCGCACCATCCTCGAGGCCTGCTCTATCGCGCCTCCTCGGGCTGCGTCGGCCAATGCACCGTCGCAGCTGCCACCGGCTGCCCCATCTGCCTCGTCCTCGAATAAAATTACGGCGGCCGAGTTCCTTTCCCTTCGCAAGGACTACCTCAAGAAGTATCCGGGCGAGCTGCTGACACCCGCTAATACTCCGTCCGTTGAGTTTTTGTCGTTGATCCGTCAGCACCATGAGTCCGGCCAGTCCGTTTGGATTCCCTGGCGTCAACGCACCTCTGAAGCCGATTTTCTGCATTGGGAGGAATCCCGCCGCCCCAGATCCGATCGCCAAATGCTTCGTTCCCTTCTGGACTTGCCGGATGAAGCTGCTGGGCCGACCTTTGGTTTTAGCCTCAACGGCCCCTCCGAGTCCGTTCTCCGGCGCTGTCTGGACCTTTTCGCCATAGCTTTGGCCTTGTTGGACCTGGTTCACTTAGCCACTATTAAAAGGTTCAACGATAAGTTTTTCACAATGGCCACCACTCCGCCGTCGGACACTACCCTCCGTGCCCCTGTCCTGCAAGAGGTGGTCCACGCTGACCGCGCGGTCTGGATGACGGTCTCCGCTCTTGTCCGTGACCAGGCCTGGTCTCTTACCGACAGCCTGAATGAAGTCGGTTTCTGCCGCCACGACATGGCCCCACTGCTGCAACCCCGTCCGAAGCCGGCCCGTTCGCCTCAGCTGCCGTCCGGCCCCACTTCTGCCGGCAAGCCCAACCCGCGCAAGCGCACCAACCCGGACGGTCCCGGACGGGCAGCACCCTGCGCCTCCCTCCGGTGTCGATGCGGCCGTGCCCAAGGGCGCACCTAAGGTCAAGGCCAAAGCCAAAGGCAAGGCTGCTCCTTCCAAACCCGGTCCGATCCCCGGCTTCGACCCTTCCTGGGCGCGCGTTGTGGACGGCGCTGACGTGTGCATGAAACACGCTATTGGCAAGTGCACGAACCCCAACTGCAAGTATGCACACGTGTGTCCGGTGATGCTTCCATCCGGCAAGCCCTGCGGTCAGCCCCACACGGCGACTGAGCATGCGGCCGCCCCGCATTGACTACCTACGGCGCCGCCGGCGGTGGTTGAGCTGCCTCTGCCAATGCCGGCTCGACGCCATCCTCCACGCGTGCTGTGCCCGGTGTTCCTCCCAAGCCTGCTCTGCCCCGTGCTCCGTCTGAATCGTTTACACAGCCATCGCGCGTTCCCCCAGCCCGACTTTTCCTGGATTTGTTCGCTGGGGCTGCGTCTCCGGTTACCCAATCGATGGCAGCACTTCACCGAATGTGTTTTCAGCCGGTTGATTTGCTCTCGGGCGAGCACATCGACATTCTGCACGATGGCACTTTTGCATCTCTGCGCCGCTTGTGCGCCTCTGGCCTTGTGGGCGCTGCGGCGGCGGCCCCGCCCTGTTCGGCTTTTTCCCGTGCGCGCCTCCGTCCTGG